AACAAAGGTGTTGATGGAAGCAGCACAGCTGATATTTCTCTCCAGGATGGAGTCACAGCCAAACAGGAACAGACGAGGCAAAGCTACTCTGACAACGTCACTAGTTCTGCTGTAGCTCCCAGATCTGCTGGGTCCTGCTTCATGCCAGTGGCATTAAAGCTATTGAAGCTATCTGAAAGTAGCGTTCGTTTCCTGCGTCAAAAGTCGCGGACTGCAGTGTATTTATCGTGCCTAGTGCCCCGTTCAGTTGGGTGAGAAACTGAGTCTCCTTCTGCGTGCTGTTTGTGGAACTCCCACCTTTTGAGGACCGGGACGCAGATCATTGAAACGATGAGGGGACGCCCTCGTTGATAACATTAAGTTACTACCTGGAAAAGCCCATGGAATCCCTCTGCTGTTGCATCAGACTGATCTCAGATTCTTTAGATTCTTTAGAAAGGGTCATAAAAAGCTGAATGACGTTACATTGTTTTAACTGCACTACTGTTATATCTGCTGCTATTCAAACCACCTTTTTATAAGAATTTTATTCTTTTTCTTTCAAAGCTAGTCATTTACTCTGCCTTGTGTTTATTTTCTAATAGCATGTATTGTTTTGCGTCGATGTCAAATTTCTGTAATCCTGAATTATTAGAATAAAGACATCATTGTTTAACTTGCAGTGGTTTTGTAATTCATACATGAATGATTTATCACTCAGGTTAGATCCGCCCTCTTTTGGTAACAGTTTGAATAAACAGAGATAAATAGTTCTTTGATTGATAATTAATAGCTCTGCTAATAGCCCAGCCTGGGTCACTAAACTGGGGAATAACTGGACAACATATATGTGGACGCACTGTTTATACTGGATATACCCCATTCACCTTTTTCTCCTTTTGGCACCTTCTCTTTTTGACTATTGAGCTCAAGTAACAGGTACATTTCTCCACTGTGAGATGAATAAAGTCAACCAATCAATCAATCAATCAATCAATCAATCAATCAATCAATCAATCAACCAATCAATCATGATATTGGTAAATATCATTTCCTTTTGTAAAGGTTCACTGATCCTCAGTAAATGTTCAGAAGTCTAGGAGGATTTTGCTCTTCGGTTTATTTCTAATTTCTTCACTTCATTTTACAGCCTTACAGAGAAATAATCTTTGACAGAAGAAGGTCCAATTGATTGAAATAACTGCAGTTCGTCATGGAGACAAAGGATCAAACTGATGCATCAGATGTTCCTGGAGCAAAGAAAAGGCCTGCTGGAGGAGCAGGGCATGTCGTTCCACTGGTCTCCTGTTGGGATCAGAGGGACGAACAGTTTTGGTCAATCTTCTGTTTAAGGTCAACATTCTGAGGAGTTTCAGAGATTCATCTGTAAATCAGGTTATAGTCCCTAAACACTGACTGACCTCCCAGGTTTATTTCCAGACAGTGTTCTGGGTTTCCACGGTGGTTGTTTGGCTCGTCCGGATACCAGTTCTCATAATGAAACTCTGAGCCGTCGCTCCACAGCCAGGTACTGTCCTGATGACATCAGATCAAATGTAGGAGCAGTTTATTGATCCCTGATTGTCAGGCTGGTAAACCCTGTGCATTTGCAGGACTTACGTTGACGGCGTCGTAGCCTCCAACCCAGGTGAAGCGAGTTCTACCCGTCACTCTTTCCACCATCGTACTGAGGAAGGTGTTTTCCTCTGAGCTGTGGATGGAGGCCAGATTCCCACCAATAGAGATGCAGAATTTCTGAAAGGTCAAAGTTTAGATGCTGATGAAAAAGNTTATTAATTTCATTTACTCACCAGATCTGAACGCCCTGTTAAAAAACTTCACACCCATGAGTAGAGGTAATGAAGCCTGAAGATACTGTATTTACACCACAGCAGATACCGTTCCCCCCATGTTAAGAAGAGGGGAACGTTATCTGACAGGGTTTATAGGCCCGTCAGATAGCGTTCCGCCCTGATGTCTTTTACGTTAAGTTGCATAAATGCAAAACTCTCTGCAGGTTCTTGTCTTTGTCATCCACTCTATTCAGCTGGCTTTAGAAACACACGGGTAGATGGTGGGGGCCGGTTGTTGATGGTTACAGGGGCGAGAAATGCAAAAGTAACGCAACAGTTACTTTTACTAGTAACTTGTTACTTTTATTGTGGAGTAACATAGTTAGTAGCTCAGTTACTTTTTGGGAGAAGTAACTAGTAACTATAACTGATTACTTTTTCAAAGTAAAGTGCCCAACACTGGCAATCATAGAGGAGTGCTGATTATCCTATTTTAGTAAAATCAATCATATTTATAAATCCCATAAAATCATTACTGATAAGAGCAGGTGGAATGGATGGTTCAGCTGAAATATGGCTCTGGTTGAGTTTGTCAACTGTATTAAAAAGATATCTAGGATCGCTTTTTATTTTTAAAGTTTTTATTTTTTAACAATGGAGTGGAGTCAGAGTCAAAACAAATTACAGACACTTTGGATAAGAGTAACATGTTATGAATAAACCTTGAGAAAGAATCTGATTTGTTATGGAAAGAAGCTAAATCTGGTCTACAAACACTATCCTGCAGAGAATGGTGTGGCCTTGAGAGGGAAACAGACTGAGTGAAAACTTTTATAGTGAGTAAATATGATAAATTAATATATAATAGAAATCAAAATTTTCAGTCCACCCTTTCGATTATAAAAGGATATTATCCTTGTGTAATCGATTTAAAAAAAGTAAAATTTATGAATATAAAAAAACTAAAACCTAAAATTGTGAATATATGTAAAGAAATTAAAAAAATATAAACTAAAATTAAAAATAATAAAAAAATATATATAAAAAATACACAACTGCATTAAGTCAGTGGACAATGTTAAATGATTATATTAGATGGAAAAATCATGGGACAGATCATGATAGCTAAAATATGTTCCCAATAAATAGAGCCCTGGAATCATATCTTAGTTGGCAAAAATATTTACTGTTATACTATGATACTTTTTATGGTAAAATATCTATTTGCTAAAAATGTAAATTTTTTGTTCTTATCATTATGGGTTACCCTTTTTGTTTCTTTGAAGCACCCCCTCTACCTAAATCCTGTGGGGAGGTCTTTTTTTTTGCGTAATCGAAACTAACGCCTGCTGTTGTAATGTGTTGACTGCTCAATAAAAAGCCCTGCAAGTGTCAAGCCAAGCGGAGATGCAGAGAATGATACTGCTCTTCCCTTTACAAAGCACGGTCAGGAAAAATCTTACACTGTCTTTGTTTCAATTTTTATAGGTTAAAGCTGGGGAAACTTAACAACCCTAACATCTTGGTGCCGTGACCCGGATCCCAACACACCTGCTCGCTGACAGAGGGAGGAAGACACGCTGAAAGCTACCGGTAGTCAGTGTCCCATCAGAGGGGGCCTGTGTCAAAGTCCCGGG